ACCTTTTCACCCCAGCTCTTTCATTAAAATCTCCTAACATAATAATATTTTCATTGCCCTTACATTTCATTAACACCATCCTTACCATTTCCCAAAACTGCTTTCGGATATAAGTGGGCTTAGACACGTCTGGGGCGTAGACCCCTAGAACAAACAACTTCTTTAAGCCCACTTTCATTCGTATCCATAGCAGTCTTGGGTATTATACTCTTTCACACATTGGCCCATTATTTCTGAAAGGATGACACATACTCCCTGACATGCCCACTCGGTCTCGTCTATATCAGACCAGTATGCGGTTTAAATGCCATGTGTAGTGACATCCTTCCCTTTCCGTTTCTTCTCATTTACACATAACACATCTACTCCTCTATCATACATCATATCGCATACTTTATCCAGCTTATCATTCATTGCTCCACATACATTCAGCATAGCCAGACGGGCTTCTACAATCCACTTTTCGCCCCTCCGGAAGACAGAACGTGACGGGTGGCGAACCTGGTCGCCGTTAAAATTGTAATTAACAATTTTGTAGGTGCCGGCTGGAATCGAATCCGGGTTACTGCCATACTATGAAAGAAGACGCATACTAAGGTCCAAAACGGTATGAAGCGTGGGCCTAGTTTTGTACTAGTAGGGATCTAAATTTAAATAAATTATTAAGCCACTTTTGATTATTCAAATTCACGAATTCGCCTTTATTTTAGTGGTATTAATATTTTATTCTCACCAAAAAATGCAACACTAATGGCGGATAGATGTCATTTTAACGTCAGCTGTCAACTGTCATGAAGTTATTGATTCATTTATTGATGGCTATTTGAATACTGAAATGCTGTGTTATCCCTATCCCGTCGTCTATCCAAACGCCATATTCTGGCGTTTCAAATAATATGCGCATCTGTCAAACGCCATAATATGTTGTCGAGTGATAGCATATATATGATATATATAACATATATATATCTGTTATGCATAATCTGATAGCTTATTTAATAACGTTTCCATTGATATATGATTTTAATATACTTGTTATATACTTAGTTAGTACTTCGGAAAGTGCTCAACAGATGCGCCATATTGGCCAAAAAAATTGGCCCCGACATTCGAGTGGATATCACTAAACCGATACCAAGACATTCACTAGAAACACAATAAACGCATTCACGAGTTCACAACTACACGACCAAGCTCGGAATAAATAAAAATATCCAGCTACCTGCATTATTTCATGACTCATATCACTTTTCGGAAATGACATTTGACAAATAACCGCGTCTTTTTTATGAATGGAAGGGTGCTATCTTGTAAAACCATCAGAAACTTGGGATTGCATTTTTATTTTTATCAAGTTATTTAGTTTAATTTTTCTTTAAATTTTTTTAAAATAAAATCTCTGAATTTTCCGCTTTTTTACGGTATAGTATACATTGGGTCAGAAATGGAAAATCTCCTTTAATGATCATAAGTAAATACTTAAATTACTAAATAAATACTCGAGTTGCAAAATTATTTCATTGGCGTGACTTTGCCTTGGGCAACGCTCAGCATATGTGGTAGTATAAGTTGTTAAACGCGATAAAATCCGTAAATATAGTTTTATTCAACGTATAGTGTTCACGTAAATTTAAAAAATCATTATATGAGGTAATTCATAAACTTGAATTAGAATTAAAAATTTCATTGGTGCCGGTGGGGATCGAACCCATGTTGCTAACGTATTGTGAAATAAGCAGCGAGCATTTACTCTTTGATCTATCACGATTCTGTATACGTACCTTCTTGCGTTTGCTTAGTTAAATTGGAAACTGCGCTCCGATGGGTACCGAAGGTTCCGTCAGGTCTGAATCCTCCCTAAATGTTTTCATACCAAGATCAATAAATCAGATATTTATAACTAGCAGTTGCAAGCTCAACAAGATGGCCCTTATATCGCATATCGCTTGAAAATAGAGTATTTATGAAGTAACGATATAAGTTGTAAGCTATTCTTCTAATGAACATGCATGCAAAAACTATTTTTATTAAAATAAGGGTGACAAACTAGCACACAGTCCACCTATGTTAAATGGTTTATAGACATATCCAACTATCTTCGAATCAAAATGCAGATGCTTTGTGACCCCTGATGATTAAGATGGAATGCCTTGTTTCCAGTAAAAAGGGTCTCCGGTTCTTTTAACTTGCCATACGAAACACAGCAACATCAAGCAGCTATTTATTGCTGGTATTCTGTGAGAGCGTGGTCCTTCCCCGGTCGAGCCGACCATTCGTGCTACAACCATAATATAGCTGCAGCAAGGCTATACTACGTAAACGTATATAAACGTATACTACTCGTTTTGACGAGTGTAATCCAACTATAAATTGTATATCAATTATATCTTGATCATTATTACAGGCTAGTCCATATTATCCCGTGGGTGTCGTGAACGCGAGAGAGGGAAATTAAATATTTTATTTTATTTTATTTTTAGTATATTATTACATTTCATTAATTACACATTACGTTACGGTACAATCATAAGTTTATAGAAACTTTACCATGTACCGGCAACAAATAGAACATGGCTATCTCCCCCTATGATGTATTCTATGGCGGAGGCCCGTGTTAATCAGTGTTAGACATTTATATGGGTTGTAATGAATGAAAAATGTCATCGTTTATTTTAATAATAATTCACTTTTACGAGACAGTAACGTTCGGCCGCGTGTTTGATACCCGTACACATGGCTTTACACATACAAAACTATCAACTATTCAAGGATAGATGCAGTTATTAATGAACCACAGCATACACTGACCATCCGGTGGACTGTATGCTCGTTTATCACTCTAATTCTTTAAAAAATACAGCCTACAAATAATTGTTTCGATACATTTAATATGTGCAATTTACGAAGGTATGTAAATGCCTTCACAATTCAAGAAAAACCCCAATAGTGCAGCATATAAAGCGCGGGATTTAATGCCTTAGTAATATTTTGAGGTTTGAATTAAACACGCGCGCTTGATCAAGAAGTTTATTGATGATTGCTCTAGATAAATCAATAACTTAACCTATACACTTGCATTGTATTACTATTTCACCTCAGGGATGGATAAAAAGAAATAAAAGTTCAGCATACAGCATAAGCATACAGCATACACATAAGCACAAACTGCTTACAGTTTTCAATTAACCTTTCTGTTCTATCCTTATGCACTATATTCTACTTTATTATTTCTAAAAATCTTAACATTTGTTCCTAAATCTTCTAAGACTTAAAAAGGTCCATCAACAATACAATCTAATTTACGAGAACATTCATTTTTAGTTAAAATGAGTTCACCCTTATCATGGAATACAGGATTTACGTAACAAGAAACGTAAGGTAAATCTTCATTTTGTTATTTCTCAAACATGCGTCGCGTATGCCTTGACCAGCTAACACTTTAATAAATTAGCACTTAAGCGTCCAATTATCACTTCGTATTACGTAGTAGAGCCATAGTGGCTATATTATGGTTATATAATGTATAACGAGCAGGTCGGCTCGACCGGGGTAGAACCACGATCTCACATACTACAAGCGTGAAATACCAGTTTAATGCTGCTACAATTCGTAAGGTGAGTGGGGGGGAATCGGAGACCGATATTCACTGGATACGGCAGATTCCATTTACACCTCAGTAGGTGACAACCCATCTGCATTTTTGATTCTTAATTGGTGGTAGATGTAGACGTCTATGGACAACACCATCAAGTGAAGTGCGTGCTCGTTTGCCACCCTTATTATTTAAAAAAATAAAATGTTATTGGCTTAACGTGGTCGGAGTTACTCGCTGCTCTTTTGACTCTGCCTACCCACTTGGGGACTATAGGCGTGATGTTATTTATCTTCTTTCTCTTATATACAAAAATTAATTGCTATCCGTTAGTCTCGCTGAAACTCGAAAACGCCTCGAACGATATTGATGAATTTTTTTGGGTGTAGTTGAGTTGGTCCCTTGATTTGGACCCGGTAGGTGGCGCTGTTGTTTAGATCCAGATATCATTCGTGCGAAGCCGGGGCGGATCGCTAGTGTGCAATGTAAGTGACTATCAGTATGTAGCACAATGAACAGCAAGAGAAATTGCAACAGGGACCGGGTCATCGACCGGATGCACTTCCTTATTAAGTAGTCCCTTAGGATTCATTGGCCGCCCCTCCCGCACTCGCAATTCAGTCCACTGCGTAAGGTTGAATAATAGACGCTTTAAAATACTCAAATACATTACAATTTTATGTTAATGTTTAAATAATGTGTTTCATATGGTGAGAACCGGAGATCCTTTTTACTGGAAACAAGGCGTTTCATCTTAGTCCTCAGATGTGACAGCGCATCTGCATTTTATTAGTTTAGGGGTGACGAACGAGGAAACAGCCCACCTGATGGTAACTGGTTGCTGTGGCCCTTAGACATCTACAGCAATCCTGAATAAAGAAACGAAATGCAGATGCGTTGTCACCCCTGAAGACTAAGATGGAATGCCTCGTTCCAGTAAATAGGATCTCCAGTTCTCACCATATAAAACACAGCAACATCAAGCTGCTATTTATTGCTGGTATTCCGTTAGAGCGTGGTTCTTCCCGGTCGAGCTGACCCATTCGTGCTACAATTACAAGATATGGCAGTACCACGTAAATTTTTTTGGATTCTTATCGACGATAAACGTAGATGTCTATGAGCCACAGCATCCACTTAACATCAGGTGGACTATATACGCGTTTGTCACTTCTATTCATAAAAAATATGGGGCTGAAATATCCCAAGCTTATAACGTCACCCGGATGGACGTGGGTAGCACTGTTCAGATCCAGAAATCACATAATTTTGATAATTTTTTTTGTGTGTGTTTGAATAGGTGCTATGATAAGATTCACATTTGAACTCGATAGGTGGCGCGTTGTCGAGGTCCAGAAATCACGCGTGCGAATCCGGGGCGGATCGCTTGTATTTAAAATAAACTTACTTGGCGCGCTCGTCATCGGAAATCGCCTCGTTGTTATCATCAGCTGCGTTGCCTCCATCGCTAAAATCTGATGCTGTGCTCTGATGATGCTCGGGAATCTGCAAGAATATGTCATTACTTTTAATATTTCTTTGCTTTTATCTCCTAAACGACTCCGTGGCGCAGTGGCTTAGCAATGGGTTACAGCGCTAGGGCCGCGGGTTCGAATCCCGCACGGAACAAGTATTTGTATGGCCTACAAATATTTTTTTCAGGTCTTTATGTTTGTCCCAGTTTAATTTATAATAATAATATCGTATTTGCATAAAACGTGATTTTACAGAACGGTTCAGATCAGCATGTTTCACGCGGTTATCATAGCATGCAAATTTTTACTTTGTTTTTTACGTTAATATTTATGGCTACAAACATCTTGAATACTATAGAAATTACAATCATTTAACCACTATTATAATTTTAATTCAAATTATCTGGTGTTTAATATTTTTAAGTTATTAGGTGTCTTATTATATACACACACAAATAAACAACTTTTATTATATTTTTATTATATTATAACTTGGCCTCTAAAAAGTTTGGCGTGCTCAGCAGAGCGGGACAGTATTTCATGCCGGCACACCGCCCGCAACTTTACAAGGCGCAGGTTCAGCCGCACATGGAATACTGTTTCCATCTCTGGGCTGGGGCTCCCCAGTACCAGCTCCTCCACTTGACCGCATCGAGCGCAGAGCGGCTCGAATCGTCGACGACCGAGTGCTTTCCGATCGGCTCGATTCACTGGCGCTGCGAAGAGAGGTTGCATCTCTTTGCGTATTTTATCGCATCTATCACTGTGGGGAGTGCTCTGAGGAATTGTTCGGATTAATTCCAGCCGCCAAATTTCATGAACGCACTACGCGGCAAACCTCCCGATACCATCCACACCATCTGGATGCTTGGCGGTCCACCACTGTACGTTTCACTAGGAGTTTTCTTCCGCGTACGACCTCTCTGTGGAATAATTTACCACCAGCGAACCGATACGACCTGAAAACCTTCAAGAAAAGAGCTTTCTCCTTTCTAATGGGCCGGCAACGCACCTGCAATTCCCCTGGTGTTGCGGTTGTTCATGGGCTGCGGTAGTCACTTAACATCAGGTGTACTGCAAGCTCGTTTGCCCCCTCTTTTATAAAAAAATGTAGCATTAACAGGTCTTCTATAACGTCTGTGCTACACATTTCCCAAGTGTATAAGTATAAAAAAGAACATTGTTTTGTTATTAATCGTTCTCTTTCCTTGAAGGTCTCTAAGTCGTGTTGGTCCGAAAAATCGCACGTGGTAAATAATTTCACAGAGAATTTGTACGACGAGGAAATCTCCTAGTAAAACGCACAGTGGTAGACGGCCAAGCATCCAGATGGTGAGGATGGTATCGTGAATTATGACGCCATGTGCGTTCGTGTAATTTGGCGACTGGAATTAATCTGAACAATTCCTCAGAGCACTCCCCGTAGTAGATGCGATAGAAAATGCAAAGGGATGAAACTTCCCTATACAGCGCCAGCGAATCAATCCGATCAGAAAGAAACAGAGATTAGAACCGCACTGTTATGTGCTCTCTCTGGTCCTTTAAACCTACATATTTTAATCAAAATTATTTAGTAAGAGCTAGATAGTATTTAAAAGATTAATACGGCTGCAATTAACTTATTTTTCAAAAATTCCGCACCATTAAATCCGCCGTCTGAGTCTAAGGCCTCTTTACCCCACCCCTTGTTACGCCATGACTCCCTAGTATACCTAGTTAATGAAATAATTGAGTTACAATGTAAGCGCCAGACCAACGATCATAACGCAATGTAATTTTTTGTAGAATTAGGGTGAAAAACGATCACATAGTCCACCTGATGGTGAGTAAATGGTGTGGTCCAAACATCTATCCTCGAATAAGAATCAAAATGCAGTTTTTTTATAGACTAAGGATAACAAACAAGCGCACAGTTCACCTGATAGTAATTGGATGCTGTGGCCTATAGACATCTACCTAAATCTATCCTCGATTAAGAATCAAGATGGACGGAAGAACCCTGATGACTAAGATGGAATGCCACGTTTCCAGTAAAAAGGGTCTCCAGTTCTTTACACTCTACCATACGAAACACAGCAGCATTATGCTACTGTTGTACGCTGGTATTCCGTGATAGCGTGGTGCTGCTCGGTAATCGTCTAATTTTTGTGACGTTAAAAGTAGATGCTGTGACCCAAACACATGCAAATATATTCTCGATTAAGAAACAAAATGCAGATGCGTTACAATCTCCTTCGTTTCCAGTAAAAAGAGTAAAGTTTGTCACTCTTACTTAATTCAAAAAATCATCATGCCACTAGCTAACTCACAGGATGATAATGAGTATTATGAAACCAACACTTTTTTTATTTACAAAATATCGTTACATCCACATTCCACACTAGTATTTTCTCCAGTATCGTAGTTTACATACATAAATTTCACAGGGACAAACATCAAAATCAAATATTATTTGTTGAAACCGCAGCCCTTAGCGCTACGTCTCTTTGCTAAGCTACCACGAATTCCTAACTTATTTATTAATATTTAAATCGACTTAATAAAATCTGACCTGCGTCAAAGGTATGCAGTCGTGATCGCGTCGCTTCGCACCACGCATTCTCGGTCGTTGGGCATGAGATGCAAGAACTAAGTGACTCAATTAACGCTAATTAGCTATACCCACTCCTTAAAATTATTAACATGTGTGGAGTTACTTAAGAACGCATTCATCATCAGCTGTAAATATCTACCAAGCTTAGAACGTGATAGATAGGTACAAGTGTATAGTCATGCAGCTACTTTATGGCTATAAAATATGGTTATAGATCGGTCCAATCGGGATAGGACCATGCTTTCCAGCGTAAAATAGCAGCTTGTTGCTGCTGTGTTTCGTATGGTGAGTGTAGAGAATGGACCGTATGCTTGTTTGTCACCCTTATTCTATAAAAAAAGAAGTTCTTTCCAAAAAATCCCTATTGGCACACCATACACAAGAAAAAAATAAGTTCACCTTACTTGTTAATTATGCACATTTATTTTGGCTTATATTTACAGTTACCAGTTACCTACTGATTTCGCAATGTAGATGCTCACTAAGAACGGATTTTACAATAGACCCATTAAAAGTTTTTTTCTTGATATTGTACATCTAGGTTCCGTAATAAAATATTATCGTGCTCCCAACGAAGCGAGCGGATGTCAGCTAGTTAAGATTAAATGCTAAAATGTCATAAATAAATATTTATGGATATATACTGCGCCTGATCAACAAGCAAAAATCTTCTCAATCAATGATAATTGCTGCTTGAATTCCACAGGCGCTTCGCTATAAATTAATACTCAAGCATTCCACTATGAGACATGAGCCTCTGCGACGCTTAGTTGGATTTGCGATCACAGTTATTCGAAATTATTTACAACACAATAAAACTACGTAAAATTAGTTTAAAGGTATTTTTCGCGTTTAATTTTAACTTTTTGTAAAGCAATCATAACTTCGGGAATTAAAAAAGTTAAAATTAAACGCTATATTATATTCCGTAAAATTATTTTAATTTAATGTGTTATTGCTATTTTAAGTACCTGTTTCAAAAAATATCATCCTTTTTCATGATTGAGAGCCAATCTATATTTTGATTCATAATCGAGGATAGATGAAGGTGCAGTATCCACCTGTGTACGCTGCATGTCGTTCGTAACCCTTTCATACATGGTGACAAACGAGCACACAGTCCACCTGATGGTAAGTGGATGCTATGGCTCATGGACATCTACATTTATCTTCAATTAAAAATCAAAATGCAGCTGTGTTGCCAGCCCTGCGATGGAATGCCTCGTCAAAATTTCAGTAAAAAGGGCCTCCAGTTCTATACACTTACCACACGAAACACAGCACCATTAAGCTACTATTTTACGCTGGTATTCTGTGAGAACGTGGTCCTATCCCGGTCGAGCCGACCCATTCGTGCTGCAACCACAATATAGCTGCAGTGTGACTCTACCACGTAAAAATCTATTTGTCTACCAATTTATTGGAGGGTCGTCTGCATTACGCTTACCAATACAAGGTTGCCACTCGAAAACCTTTGTTCCTCACCGCTTGTTCGTTCTTCGAGCTGTATGTCCGGCTAATCCCCACTTCAACATACTGATACGCTGGGCTATGTTACTCTTTTTTTTAATTTATTTTATGTACACACATCAAAATACAGAAGCAGTCTTATAGTAATTTCGTACAAAGGTTCTACTTATTCCATAATTTGCTAAAATATCTTCCAGTAGACCCATAAAGGAAATTATATTGAAATTGCAAACTTAGTGCATACATTAGTACTACTAAAAATAAATAATATACAAAATGTTACGTAAATGATATAAAATAAAACAATAAATAAAAATAAAATAAAGCAATACATAATAATAATAAATACGATAGTTACATATGATATATATAAACTAAAACTAATATAATAGAATAATATATATAAATTAACAGGTTGCGACGTAGTTATCTCTAAGACGTTACTTAAATACCAATAAAGTTTCGGAATTTCTTATATTTGACGGTAGTGAGTTCCATAACCTTACCGCGTGAACTGAAAAGGAGTGGGAGTAAAAACCGGAATTATAGACGGGAAAGTCAAGAAGAGTTTTAACAAGGGATCTGCATGGTTTCTCCGGAGGATGGGTGTACTCTTATCTCTTATCTCTTATTATTCTGCTGATATCTTCCACACAATTTTATTTCTCGGAGAAATTCTTCACGACCTAGCCGGTGGTAAACAGTATTAAAAATTGCAATTTACAATTTAATTGTCGCTGGCGGAAATCTAACTCTAAATAATAATAATAATAATAATAAGTAATGTGTGATCTACAGTGAGGGGTCAACCCTGATTCACCTCGGCTCACGTGCTATGTTAATTACTAAATGCGTGTATTATCAATTATTATATCATTAGAACAGAAATAAAAAGGGGTTATATAATTGCAGTTAGGCTGTGGCACAAATGAGTCAGCTCTAACGAAGAAGGGCGACTCGCACAGAAT